CTATTAAACTTTTAACCTTCCTCACTGTTATTATAGTTCACAGATGTGATATATTATGTCCCAAAAGTCATCAAAGCGTCTGTAGTAAAAGTGACTTAATCCTACAATGTGAGCGAAAAGAGCAAAAGTTACTTGGTAGATGAGTATTTGTTGTTGAACGTGTTATTATCGACCGTAAGCAAACCGATGTAGTTTAGAGTTTGAGCTTCAGTTGCATGTTAAGGGGCAAGTGACGTCAAATGTAAGCTTGGTTTAACGCCTCAATTCTGGTCATGAAGTTAGAATTGGAGCGGCTGGTGTTGCTACAGGTTAAATCCTTATATATGTAAAGGACCAATCAAAGTTTTCGAAGAAATCAGGACCAATCACATCGCATAATGTTCGAAGAAATTTGGGGCGCGCTATGTGAGTTTTTTGTACATGCCAGACACAATCCGATTTCCATAAAGTCTTTTATTAGCAATACTTTTGTTTCTTTGTATATTGTATGTAATTCGATGGTAACCCAAACGTTGTGTTAAAATGTTTAGATGGTTATCACGTAACTAGTAAAAATAATGCATATAATATGTCAATAATTAAACTATTTATTCAACCATAAGTAAGTAATTTACCTCAGTATAATATAAGTTATGTGTTTCGTCCGTTATCTCAAGTGAAATTAATTCAACGAAAGTACTAGTAGGTAGCTTACGCGGTAACAAGAAAGTCATTTCCGTATGACGGATACAATTTAATGGATCCATTCCAAATAAGCGTCGTTTGTTGAGTTTGTTTGTAACTGAGACTTCTTAATAAACTCATCGAATTGCTATTGTTGTTAGTCCATCTATCGAATAATTATTTATGTCCGCATATGCACCACACAGGACTGCATCGGAGTAGTCCACATGCAGCGCAGATTCGATAAAATAATAAAAGTTTTTAGCAGCAATTATGTAATAGTATTATATGCAGTAAACCCCTTCATTAATTCGCTGCGAAGCTCAAACTATCTGGAATATCGTGACACTATTACCGTGCTTATGTGTCGGAAGTGAATGTATCCTAGCAAACTCATTCAAATGGTGTATACATTATTCATTGCTTCCAAGAAATATCATCGCATCGTTATCGGAAACCCACTATTTTCCGAATTACAGCTTCCTCACCATCACCATACCACAGTCATCTCTGTCTACTTTCGCATCAGATAGCTCTTCCTTCACTCCGATCAACGGCGTCTCGCTTAAATTTTACTACGTTCCGATTATGACTTAACTTGGGGAGATAAACATACATAAGCATGGTTTATCAAACACGGATTCCCTTTATTAACTAAAGTAATAGCGATTGTTATATTTTAGTTCAAAATACGAACATTTGCTCTAGATTAAAGACAGTTTTCCATTAAACGGTGATAGCATTCCCGCCTTAATTATCAATATAAGAATAACCATCAATAAAAGCTCCGATGGAGGCATTACCGCCACTAACCAACAAAAACTATATACAAACCTTCTAAAACGGTGGGTGTTATATGAGTTATGAATTATTCACATTACGAATGACAATATATATGTGGTAGTAAAATTTTGTCTCCTATATAAATTTCGACTTCACTACTCTACTGCAATACGATATTTAGTGTAATACGGCTGTCAGATATCAGGCAACAAACAAAGAACGGATAAAACTTTGTCAAGTATGTACATTGCGGAAACGAAATATGACAATAACTGAACAACAAAACAATGCATGAGCACGAAAGTAGTTTCCCCCTTAAAACAATTCAGCAAAAGACTAAACTTATATTATTCTCACTCTAGTTCAATACTTAAAAAGATAATATTGAAATTAAGAAGGCTTGACTATTGGAGACATACAACAAACTAATGATGGGTGAGGTGAGATGAATCATCTCGTCTATTACAAAAGTTAACCCACAGGCCGTTTTGAAAATGGAATTTGGGTCATTCTGCATTCTTAGCGTAAGAGATTATTTGTGTGTACAAGCCGTAACACATCTGTCGTGTTCATTTGACAGCAGATGTTATTTGTCAGTCAGCAAACGTTAAATTGTATAAGCTTGGGAAAAATAGTGCAAGCGTCTACTGGTAATTCGAAAACATTTGTTCTATAGAAGCTGGTGCTGCGAATGGGTGCATAGTAGACGTTGTCAATTTAATTACGAGAAATTGTTCAATCTTGAAAGTTACGATGACGATTTCGATTCATCGTAATCCGGATTGAAATTACGACTGTAAGCTACACAACTCTGTTTGACTCCCTTTCTAGCTTGCTACGATGCATTGTTTGAGCTTCTGGAACACTCATTTGCCATTTTTGAGCAATTTTATTTTTGGTGACACAGTAAATATCGGCGTGGTGTGAGCTGAGCATACTATTCGAAGATGCAAAAAACTATTTTTAAAAAAAAAAGGTTATACAAAAATGTGCCTAATAAGGAGATTCAAAAGGTTTATGCTCCCAACCCCCTATGTATCACGACACTAATTACACAAACATTTTTAATTTTGTAAAAAAGATAGTTAACGGCTAAACATCCGTGCTCAAATCTCTTAGTGCTCCATTAAATCGTTAAATGAATCGCATTACTGTTATATGTTTAATCATCTCACTTTGGTGGTGCTTTTTCTTTAACTCTTTTCTCTGTTGTAATTTGCAAGCCAGGTATTATTTCTTACACAGTTATATTTAAAAAAAATGTGTAATTATCGTGTACAGTGATATAAAACCCCATCATTACTAGCTTAATATGGCAATTGCATGTTGGTTTTTAAACCGGTAACTTGTCCGTTAAAAATTTCATCATTTATTAAGAATACTAAATATAAATGCTCCCTAAAAAGTAAAGGGAAACGTGTTTTTTTTGCCGATAAGGACATTTCTGTTAAGATCTGCCTTGAGCGTGGGGTTATCAATATCACACTATAATACTTACAGACGATTTCACTAGCTTCATTGACTCACAATCAGTAAATATTGCAGTACAACCAGGTGAGTTATATTACTGTTATAATTAGTATCCATTACAATAATAACAACTAATTTATTGTTCTCTTTTTTTCAACATTAATAGAAAAATGCATCACGTTTAAGTTTTACCCATCTACACCTCTTCCTATCGCTTCTTACTATTTTGAAATCATATTTGAAGGAGTTACTACAAAACTTGCTGTTTCTGCGACTTTTACTATCGGTAGACCTAAATCCGGGTTAATTATTACTCATCCTGTCACGGATACAAGTTTTTTTATCTACGTCATCTCAGTCTACGCCATCATTAACTGACTCTATATAGGACTTTTATCGTTTTATCAGACTTTCCAACGAAGATAAGACTTGCTTACAGCCACGTACGTCTAGCGAGCCGTCGCCATCAATAAACTTGCTCCCAAGCAGCAACACAAATTCCTGCTTTATTGTTGAGTAAACGCCAGATACAGTTGAAGAATTATGAGTACATAGTGAAACTCGACAAGTTGGACACTCGATAAGTCGGAAAACTTAATAAGTCGGACAAATCCCTTTGCACTTTCTTTTTTTCATATTAAAATTATTTCGATAAGTCGGATTTCTTGATAAGTCGGACAGCCCTGCCTGCCCCGCCGTGTCCGACTTATCGAGTTTCACTATGTATTACAATCCATGCATAATGATAAAGAGCAGATACCTCCTTCTTTTTTCTTTCTTTGTTTAGAAAATTACCCGTTTAGTAGCACGAAGCGGAAATTAGATTAGTATGTAAGATTAAACCTTAATTTGCCATATCGTCACGTTCAGATATTTCACGCTTATTTTCTATCTACTCAATCGAGATCGTGTTTTTATTTTAGGTAAAATTTTCGAAATTATTTTTATTTTTGACTTGTAACGATATTTAAATCAATAAACAAAACAATTTTGAATTGTACTAATAATACGAATAACGTTATTAATTGATTATGTTATACCCAAATATCATTATTATAAAGCAATATTGGTCTTGAATGTAATACAAGTAAGTGACTACAAAAAGAAGAACTTTTCATATTGTACAAGTAACAGCAATTCGAAATATGATTATGATTGTAAAGGAGGTAGATTACTATAAAAATAACTGGGACCAGAATAGCCGGTGATTGTATGGAAGGTGCGATAACTGTAGGGTAGGGGGAAATTGACTGTATATCAAATCACACAAAAATTTTACGACATATAATGTTACCCTCTAAAAACATGATATTATGAATTGATAATGGTCATCATATATCAAGCAATTTTATATAACTAACTTGTTCCAGAAAAAACATCTCCGAAGTTAATCTAATCTATCAGTACAACTCCCCTTTCTCTTGTGCTATAGCCACCAGTTCTCGCGTAAGATTATTTGTGTGTGCACTAAGCCGTAACACATCTGTCGTGCTGATTTGACAGCAGATGTTACTTGTCAGTCAACAAACTTTAAAGTATACGCTTCAGACGGATGCATCTAGTAAATTCGAAAATGTTTGTTCTATAGAACAAATATTGCAAATGGGTGCATAGTAAACGTTGTTAATTTGACCACAAAAAATTGTTCAATCTTGAATAATTTTCGATTTATCTGGTCCGTTTTTTGCCGAATTAAAGATTACGGCTGTAAGCTACACTGTTTGACCCCCTTTCCAGCTTACCGCGATGTCATACATTTGTTTGGGCTCCCTGGAACTCTCATTCGTCAACTTCGATCAATTTTATTTTTGGCGACATAGTAATATCAGCGTGGTGTGAGCTGAGCATACTATTCGAAGGGGTGCAAAAAAACTATTTTTAAAAAAACAAAGATTATACAAAAATTTGCCTAATAAGGAGATTGCAAATATTTATGCTCTTAACCCCCTGTGCAGTGGTATGTATCACGACACTATAATTACACAAGCATTTCTGTGTGACATGCTTTGTATTTGTAAAAAAGATATTTAACGGCTAAACATCCGTGTTCAAATCTCTTAGTGCGGCTCCATTAAATTGTTAAAATGAATCGCATTACTATTATATGTTTAATCCTCTCGTTTCTCTTTTACTTTGGTGCCTCTTCTCCAACTGAACCCTCTATTGTAATTCGCAAGCCAGGTATTATTTTATATAGTTATGTTGACCGAAATTTAAAAAAAAATGTGTAATTATCGTGTACTGTGATATTAAAACCCATCATTAATTATGGCAATTGCATGTTATTTTTTAAACCGGCAATTTTTACGCTAAAATTTCATCATTTTTTAAAAATACTAAATATCAATGCTCACTAAAAAGTAAAGGGAAACGTTTTTTCTGCCGATAAGGACATTCCTGTTAAGATCTGCCCTGGGCTCGGAGTTACCAAAATCGGCTCTATAGCTCTCGTAGGCTCTTTCAATGGCTTCTTTGACCCACAAACAGTAAATATTGCAGTACAACCAGGTGAGTTATATTACTGTTATAATTAGCATCCATTACAAATAATAACTAATTTATTGTTTTTTTTTTTCAACATTAATAGGAAAATGCATCACATTTAAGTTTCACCCATCTAAACCTCCTTCTATCGCTCCTTACTTCTTTGAAATCACATTTGTAGAAGGAGTTACTACAAACCTTGCTGTATCTGCGACTTTTACTCTCGGTAGACCTAAAGTCGGGTTAATTATTACCCATCCTGTCACGGATACAATTGCTCATGTAGGAAAAGTTTAAATCAAGAGTTATTGAACAAGTTATTTTGACAACATATTAATGAATACATATCTTTATTATTTAGTGTGGCGGAACACTTAAGATTAAATGGAAAGACCGTAAGCATTTTGAACATGCCATAATTTATTTATTTGTTTTTTTTTCTTCTAAAATCTAACTATATTTAATAATTTATTTATTTTTACAGCATTTAAATTATACGGAGGTCTTACTTTTAGCGTATTTTCCTTGTTTGAGGCTTCCCAAGGAGGCTTCATACCAATTTTGCCTCCAGCAGTGAGTGTTCCAGTTTCAGCGGGCAAAAAAACCGTCAAAATTCCTCTGGGTCTTAAGAACGAACATAATTATAATGTTGTGGTTTTCGTTGTCCGCAACAGCCTCACTGAGGTATACATTTCAGATGAGTTTAAGATCAGTCATTGTTAATGTCTAGTTGAAACTAATAGTAATAGAGAGCGCAATGTCAATCACTGTTCAATTATATTACTTACGACATTTAAAAGTAATGTGCGCGCAATGTCTGTTAGTTATACGTAAATTATTATATTTCACAGCCACAGCGCCACAGTTTTTTGACACTGTTGGCGTTTTTTTGTACTGTTTTTTTTTTATATCGTTTTTTCCGTATTTTCTATCAACGTTTTTCCATCTTGTGCATACAATGACAAGAGACAAATTATTACTCTCTACGGAGAACTCGGACGTAAAGCAGACTTTTCTGAGTCAAATAAATCAGCAATACGAACAAACTTTTTGATTTACATTAAGTCCGCATGCCTAAGTCGAATTTGTCTGATTAAACATTGACAATAAACAGGCTCAAAGACAGACTCTCTAACGAAAAAATACAAAAAAAAAGTAAATTAACATTCCCTAGCTTCACGCGATGACGTCATATCGAATATGAGTACATCAGACAAGTAATTAACAAAATTTGAATGCAACCTTGTTTTGGATAATAAACTACGTAATGTGGTAGTATAATACAAACGTTATTATTATTACGCTTTTTGTAATCAATCTTAATATCGAATACTGGAAAAAATTTAGCAATGGTAAGAATCGACTAGAATTTATTATGACGAATAATTATACAGGGATGTCCTTAACTTACACCCCTGAGTGTACATTAATCCGTTCGTACATTAAGGGTGTACGGAATAAGTTACACCTCCCAATAAGTTACACCCGGTGTATGCAAATAATCGTACACCCCTGGGTGTACCTGGTATCGTTCAGAGCAGCTTAACCGACTTATCAATTGGACTTCAAAGACTAGTACCCAGGTCAACAGAGTGCGTTTTCTTATTCATAAAGCAGCCAATATTCGAATGTTACATACTGGATCTGTTAATGAAATGCGCAGAGAATTCGAGATATTTGAACAATAAAATTATTCTGATAAATCAGACATCTTTGGAATAAGGTACAGATACTTGTGTTATGGTTAACATGTAACTAACCCTCACAATCGATATGTCTCTCGTATAGTCAATAAAATACTGTAAGCGCAAGACATCCAAGGACTTGACATAGTTATAAAACAAAACTGAAGTAGAAAACCAATTAAGTGTACGCATTATTCTATAATTCCGACTGACATACAATAGTTACAGTATTGAAGAAACGTATATCTCCTAATAAAATTCCTGACTTAATATAAATAGAATCGTAATGAAAGAATTTGCATTAAGCTTAAAATTTACTAACAAATCTGGTATGTAATGTTCGAATATTCGCTGCTTTATGAATAAGAAAATGCACTCCGTTGATTTTTAAAGTTCAATTGATAAGTCGCTCTATACATTAATTCGTTCGTACACTAGGGGATGTAAGTTAAATCGTACACCCGGGTGTAAGTTAAGGACACCTTATTCAAAATTATCCCTTTTAGGTAATCAATTGTCGGCGAAATAAAATCGAGGCTCAGTTTAAACATCGTGTGCGTTGTTGTCAGTGAGATGATGCTGACCCATCATGGATATCGACATTATTAAAATAATCGACAAAACATTACGTAAAATATAGTCCATAACAGGGTTGAGGGGTAGCTTATAATAGTAATTGCAGTAACCAGAAGCGTACTACTATTTTTCTATACTTACGTAATGAACTGTCATGCAGTAATCTGGGGGGGGGGGAGGGTGTGTGTGCTTATTCAGGGTGATATAAATCAACATGTAAACTCAATGGATAAGAATAGTAAATGTTATTATCGAACAGTAATATAATAATGAGCGACACTGTGATTTCGATGTGGTGTGATCAAAATCTATCTGATATTGGTGTTGTATGTCGGTTTGGAATTTATGTCCATTCGGAATGGACATGTATGTCGGATTGGAATAGTAAAGACAACCAGGTA